CAAACAACACATTGCTGAGATGTCGGTCTCCCAGTCCTACTACGTATGTTACTAAAGCACACATTTCTTTACATATCCGTGAAACCATCAAGCGCATAAGGTACCTATGCTCCACTGAGCTAAGCTCTTCCGATAGTTGCGAATCATCCTAGTCCAGTCACAAACGAGCGGATACTCACGGTAGAAGAAATGTCTGCAAATAAATTCAACATTTGCACATAACATTTTTCGGATTCAAAATTTAGTGTCTCATTGTAGTGTAAATGCTTGTTTCGGAGTTTTTCATCAAGGATGAAAGTTTTGAAATTGCTGAATTTCTCACCTGAAAACTGGTTGAAACTGAGCGCAGGCTTCGCGGAAGGCTGCAGAAGCTTGTTTGACATGACACTTCGCTAGTCCCTTCAACTTATTTCGCATTTTGAGAGGTGTTTCATCCTGAGGTTGCTCCGAAACGTGAAGGCCGCCAAGAAGGTTATTTCCACATAAGATCTGCTCTAAAACGAAAGTATGAGTTTAAGTGGACTATATGTGGATATAACATACTTAGCGAAGTGGTCCCTTGGCAGAATTCAATCATCCCACATTTAGAGTCCAGTGGAACAACCTGAAATTCAACCTCATGTGCCCTTGTTCTTTGCAATATAAAACCCATATATTTTGCGAGTGAAGTGATGCTTGCATGATGCAAACAAAAAGCACACCTTGTAAGTACGAAGAAAAGCTTCTTCTTCATCGTTGTTCAGAATGCTGTTGACAATAGAAAATAGTTGCTCGACCAAACAATCTTGTCTAACATCGTCATTCTAGAAAGATGGTTAGGCTTGCTTCATTATTTTTTTACCACTTGAATTACAATCTGTTGTTTGCTAATCTAGTTGAAATGCGCCAAGCCGTGTTACGAATGTATGTACTTTTGAGCGATTTTTTATTTTTATCTGATTTCATTGCTGCGCATTTTTTACACTTAGAAGCTAACCAATCCAAAATGAAGAAAAGACATGGCGATTCTGATATGATGAATACACGAGTCTATCCGCCACCAACCTTCCAGATTATCTTGTACAAATTTCCGTCGCTTCCTTTGACTCTAGTGACTTTTGGTGCCGATATTCCATCAGCCTGTATGCATTCCCTTTCTATGGATTCCCATTTGATCAAATCATCGCCAG